TGGCTGGGCTTGATCTTAGAAAACTTTTCCAACCTTAGTAATTCCCTGATTCCAATGCCCCTCCCTGGCAGGCTGCAGAAGGAGGTCAGGCTGGCGCAGAAAGCAGACTACTCAGCCCAGCGAGTAGCTAGCCCCCTGCCCTATGACAAGATCTCGGTAAGGCGCCCATACCCCTCCCTGTGGGCTGTTTGGCACTCGGGCCTCAGTGCTCTGCTGGAGGGATTCCCACATGGTGGAGACCCTCCACCAGCCAGACTGGGGCCCTCCAAAGCCCAATCTACACAGCTGTTCCTGCTCTCTCCACAGCCTGGGGACAAGACGCTGGCTCAGAGTGCCCAAATGTACCACTACCAGCACCAAAAGCAGCAGATGCTCTGCCTGGAGAAGTAAGCAGCCTGGTAGCAGACAGGGTATCCTGCCATTAACTGGGATGGTCCTAATCATCCCACTGGGCTTCACCTCCTCTCTACATCTTCTTTCCCCCAGGCATAAAGAGGAGCCCAAGCTGCCGGACTCAGCATCATCTGATGAGGAGAATGAGGATGGGGACTTCACGGTGTACGAGTGCCCTGGGCTGGCTCCGGTATGCGGGTGCAGGAAAGCCAGGGGTCCCTGTGCATGTGGGGGTGTCCAACATGTGCCTGGGACGTGCACTTCTGTGCGAGGAGCCTTTTCCACATGTTCTTCATCAAACTTTGAGGTGGTCCAAGCTCTGCCCTCTGCTCCCCCCATGTCCATGGTCAGCTCCCACTGAAGCTCTCCGGTGGGCAGGAGTGCATGTCCTGGCACGAGGCTTTCCTTTGGAGCAGATAACTAGAGCAGCCCTTGGCACACCTGACCCACCATGCCTGTGGTGACAGGGACATGGTCACCGCTCCTGGGCACCGGGACTGGGGAGGCTTGTCCTTGTGTCTTGGCTAGCAGGGGGACTTCGGGGAAGGGCAGCTCATAACAGCCCAGGGTACAAAGAGCACAAAGGGACTTAGAGGAGCCTTTTACATGGTAATAGCTGCAGAGTGGCCATCAGGGCCCAGATCGAGGGTCATCAGTGGGTCTTTACAGGCCCATTAAAGGGCACTTGATCGCAGGCAGGCAGTCTGGGCAGGGCACCCCATTCCTGCCAGGCCCGCTGAAGGGGCCGTCCTGGGGTCCTGCCAGCCAGGCTGGGACTGCTGTCCTGAGTCCCCCAGCCCAGCGGTGGGGTCCCATCCCACCCAAGACCTTGGATTTTACACATCACCCCACCTCATTCCCTCCTGCCAGGGAGGCAGCACCTTTCCAGGGTGATGGGAGTCCTGGTGTTTGTCACTGCAGCCCACTCGGTTGTCCCCGTCCTCTCCCTCCTCCCTGCTGGTCTGGGGTTCAGACCCAAACCCCTTGGGATGGGGCAGCTGAATCCCAACTGCTTTCTGACCTCCCGCCTTTTCTTTCCCCTATCCCTCTCCCGCCGCCACGGCAGACCGGAGAAATGGAAGTGAGAAACCCACTGTTTGACGACTCCTCCCTACACCCCTCCAACCCCACGTCGCAGCAGTAACCAGCCCATCTCCTGCGCCCGAGCTTGCTACAGACTGTGCCTATGGCCGTGCCCAGCGGGGCTGCGTGCCGGAGGGGCACCCACAGCCGGGCCGAGGGAGGAGCACCCACAGCTGGGCCGAGGGACCTGCCAGACTGTTCGACACCTGCCCAATAAACACCCACTAACAGCTACGGAGGGGGATCGCCCCCATTTCCAACGTCCTTGTCCTCTTTGCTGCTGTGATTGCGTCCCTGCATTGCCGTTTGCTCACAGCTCTTGCGGGTGCAGGGGGGCGGCTGCTTTGGCACAGAAATGGCTGGGGGAAGGGGGGGCTGCGGCACTGTCCCTTTGTAGTGGCTTTGAGGAGGGGGCTGCTGCCCTAGCTGCAGCTAGGCTGATGCATAGCAGCTGGGAAGGATCCAGAGAGACGGTCAGAAAGCAGGAGAGGGCCGTGGGCATGCTCATGCATGGCATCACGTCCGCCAGCCTGCCCAAAGCCCCTCTGCCAAGGATGGAGCCTTTTCCTGGAGCTGGTGGCATCACTAAGGGCTTCAGTGCCCATTTTGCCTCCTCCACCCCAGCGTGGGCAGCTCCTGGCAGCAGGATAGTGCTCTGGGAGACAATGGCAGAAGCAAGAGCAGCTCAAGCAGGCACTGGCATCACTCCCCAGGCTGCTCCTTCAGATGCTGCCCTGTGCTCTGACCCCTTTAGGAGTGCTGGGCTTCAGGACAGTCCCAGTGCCACTGTGGCCTGGGAGCGCACATCAGTCTATGCTGGCAGAGGATGGGCTCTCTATTACCACAGGCCTCAGTGGGGTAAAAGCTCAGAAAAAGTGTTCCAGGTTTTGTTTTTAAGCTTATGTGGCTGTGGGGGAGGAAGGAATAGGACTGGAGGGAGCTGGGGTGGCTTGAGAGGTGTAGCCAAGGCACAGGGGGCTTTGCTGTGCTGCTTCAAATCCCACAGAGCCCATGCCCTGGCAACATCCCTGTGGAGGCTGGCACTGTGCATTCTCTGAGTATCCCTCTGTGGCAGATGACAGTCTCCACTGCTCCACCCCAGGCACCTTTCAAGCCTCAGACACTCCCTGCACCCCTCTGTTGCCCACATCCAGCCTCACCAGCCCTCACCAACATGTTCTTGCTTGGAGCTCAGTGCTGCTCCTCAAACCCTCCTGGATACATAGGCTATGAACCCCTCCAGTGGAAGGCCAAGAACACAGTTTGGGTTACTTTGCACGGTGGCTTCATGTCCAGACCCTGTTGTGGACTGTCACAGCCACAGGTCACTGGTTGTGCTCCCTGGAGCCATTGCACACTCAGGCAGGCATGGGCAGGGCAGGCAGCAGTGGCAGGGATGTGCTGGTGAGTGGTGGTGGCATGGGACCATTCCCTGTCCCTGGCGGGGTGGCTGACTGAGGCCATGAGGCCATCACGGCACAGATTCTGTCCCCATGTCCTGCACTCCCCCTCCCCTGGGCTGCTGCCACTCTTCCATACCTCTCATTGTTGTCGTATGAATTGTAGTTCTTTTAAAAGGAGATTTTATTAAACGACCATGTTTGAGACCCATGCAAGTGTGTGGTGTGGGGCCTGAGGCTTGGGGGGCTACTCTCGATGGTGGGGTGGGAGAAGGGGACGAGGGAGGATGCTGTGGGTCCCCAAACCTTCCCTGGGGAACAGTGAGCAGCCATTCTGCTTGTGCAGCTGGAGGAGTGTTCAAACCCTTCCCCATGGTTTTCCCAGGCACTTAAAGAACCGGGGATAATTTTCTTGTCTATTTGCCAAGTTTCTCCAGAAGAAGGTCCGATGGGAGCCCCCGCACCCAGCCCTGCAGCAAGCACCCAACCCCCCTCCGCCCCTTGCACCCAGGGTCCTTAGCACCTCGGGGATGACAGATAAGGGCTATCGAGTCCCTGCATTGTGTGTAGCCCAGTTCCTTTGATCACACCAGCCCCCCCATCAGGCTGATACCATCTCTCCAGGTTTCAGCAGCCGGAGGTGGGTGCTGACTCACCGCCAAAGCACCCACCCAGGATGCTTCTCTCATGGGAGTCTCCAGCTGCAGCCCTGAGCAGTGCACACCCCATATAGCCCAAGATGCCCCCAGGGCTCAGTCCTGGGAAAACCCAACCTGGAACGCACTCACTCCTCTGTGCCGAGGTCCCCAAATTTGTCCTTTGCTCCCACAACCCAGTAATCTCTCCTGGAGCCCATCCAGACATTTTGTGAAGTTCTAGCTTTTAGTAAAACTTGATTGTTCTGCCTGGGAAGCCCCCCCTTGCTCTAGGCATGGAGGCCACAGGAGCCCTGTGTGCCCTGGGAATCCCTGTCCCTACCACACATCCAGGCATAGAAGAATCATTTGTCCAGGGACAAGGGCACCTGATGCAGACATCCAAGGCCTTAAGCCCCCACCTCACTTCCCCCATCTGTAACAAAACAGGGTGAGCCCACTGGTGTATTCAGGCACTATGGTGGTGTGGGTGAGACCCACATTATAGTCCAGGGCCTTTGTAATAAGGGGACAGAACTGGACAAAAACACCCTCTGTGATTTTCCCCTGGTCTAGGTTTGGAAGCACTGACTTCATACTGTCCTCCTACGCCAGCTGCAGCCCAGCAAGTTGTGCTGACAGGCAGCAGATCAGCGTTCCTCCAGGCATGGGGCTTCTGGAGATGAACCCCCTGTCTAGCTCTCCTTAGATAGTCCTGGAGTGGCTCCTTCACCATGGGACCCTGACCCACCATGTGCAGGACTGCAGCCCCTCTTTGGTGGGCAACTCAGGGGTATGCAGCACAACCCCCCACAATGGCCTTTCCATCACCTGCCACAGAAAAGTGTGGCCTGACCATGAATAAAACATCATCCGTCCTCATCCACTCTCTTAAAATCCCAAGCACCAGTGCCACATCACCACACTCAGCAAAGGGAGGATGAGCAGATGTACATCTCAGCCCACTCCAGCCTGCTACCATCTCAGCGAGCCATTAAAGCAGACACATTTCTTTATGCTCCCATTTTCTTAGCAGGATCCCATTGATTCCTGACTGCCTTAGACAGAGCCAGACCAAGCCTGGAACACTAGCAGGTTCCAGATATGGGCTCATGGAAGGATGCATCCATCCATCTTCTCTGGAGTAGCCAGAAGAGATGTGGTCACCGGTGCTCAAAGACCCTATACAATAACCTCACACAGCCACCCCCAAATCACCCAGAATCATTGAAATGTATTGGGGGGGGGGGGGCACACAGGGAGAAACCCCACTGACTCCTTCCACATCCCCCAGCTAAAACCATCACTGCCACAATTGGCCCCCGTGCCTACAAAGGGGCCGGTTCAAAGTCAACGTCTCCCTTCCCCTCAGTCTGTATATGAAAGGACCAGGAATGCGTTTGAGGGCCGGGGAGGGGGAAAGGAGGGGGGCCTGGGAGGCTTCCCGGGGGGATGGAGAGAAAAAGTAGGTTGGCAGGAGGAGGGGGTCCAGCCCGGGAACAATAAATCAAAGGGAAAGGGAGTTACTGCGTAGCCAAGGAGCTTCTGAAACCCTGGGCCGCAGCAGGAGCCCGGGAGGAGCATGGCTGATGGCTGCCATCGGGGTCCCGCAGAGAGATTTCCTCTGCCCGCTGGCAGTGGGGCAGGCAGCAGCATAGCAGACAGTGGGCAGGTCTGCCTGCAAAACACTGGGTACAGGATCCTTAGTAGCACTGTCCAGGTAGTCCCTTGGCAGACTAAATCCAGCCCCTGCTGCGGAAGATGCTTCACCACTCTGGACATGGAAGCCCCGAGGTTCAGAAGCCACAGGGCTCACTCAGGGCTGCTCATGTCCCCGCAGGGTTTTTGAATCCTTAGTTCATTTTCCTGGGGCTGCCCTCCCTCCTGGAGCAGTTTGACACAGCCAGGATGGGCAGCCTGGTACATGTCCTGCCAGGCGTCAGGAACACTCATTAATTCCAGCTCATCCACCAGGCCATTTTTTCCCCTAAGAGGAATATCATCACGAGGCTTAGCTGTTCCGCTTCCCCTGACATGCAGCAGTGCCGTGTGCTGGGCCAGGGGCTGCTTCTGGCATTGTGGATACCGGTACCTAGATGCCAGTCCCTGAATGCCAGCTGTGGGTATGAGTCTCTGTCTGCCAGCCCTTCGGTGCCTGTCCCAGGGCATCGCTCCCTGGGTGCCAGTCCCTAGGTTCCAGCCGTCTCGGCAGCCAAAGCAAGTGCTTCATAAACATCATCAAGCACCTTCCCCGAGTTCCCCCGCCCACAGCCCCATTGCCATCCCGCCGCGGGGGAGGCTGCTCCAGCCTATCTCCTCGCCATATCTCCAGTGCGAGACGGCAGCAGCTCCCAGTAATCCGGGTTAATAAACAGGCAGCAGTGTCGGCAGCGGGATCACTCCCTGCCTTGCTCCGGCTGGGATCACGGGGTGCTGACGAAAGGAGCACTCTCGCCCTGCTCCTGCTGAGGTCAGAGGGTGCCCATGCTGTTGGTACCTGCCTGTACACAGGAACTGGCATCGGGCTGAGCCAAGCAGAGGCTGATGTTATGGCAGTGTCAGGATCGGGAAGGTTCCCAGTGCTGAGCCAGGAGGAAAGGAAAGGGGAAATGACTGGAGCCAGCCCAGGTAGCGCCATTGTGAAGGGCAGTGTGAAGGGCAAGTCTTTTAAGATAGAGAAAATATGGAGCGTGCTTCATTGTGGAGCCGATGGACACGATAGTTGGGGCTGCAATTCCTTTCCCGGCAGCACACTGAGCTCTGAGGTCCCAGGGACAGACACAGTCCTCCAAGCCACAACCCTTCTCTGTGGAGTAAGAGGAGAGGAACGGTGAGACTGTAAGGGGCCTTGGGAGTCTCAGATCTGTCCATGCTCCTCAAGGAGCTAAGAGGCTCAGTCAAGAAGACCGGGCAGTAAGAGGGGCAAGAGGTGATGGTCAAGCCCTGGGCTACCCCTGCTACTGCACGATGACACCGCCATCGCGCGGCTTGTCCTCTGTACTGGGGACAAGTGGCTGCCACAGCTGGATATGCTGCCTCACACCAGCCCCTGGCTCCAGTTCATGCCGCCAACAGCTCCCCAAAGCCATCTCGTTTCTTGCCTAGACTCCGCAGAGGTGGGGGTTCCCATGTGGGAAGACCCCGTGGCTGCTGCTGTCCCTAACACTGGCGCGGTGCTCCCCGAACAGCGTGGGGCCGGAGGGGTGCGAGGGACGTGGGTGTCCTCGAGTCCCCCGGCACTGCAGGGGTGCGAGCCCCGCGGCAAGATCGGTGTCCTCCCTGTCCCATCGGGGCTGCCCTGTCCGCCTCCCCGCCGGCACTGGGTGCGGCCCGGCGCAGCCCCCTCCCATAGCACCTTCTCTCCGTGCCCCCCGCCCCCCTGGGGGATCAAGTTCACGCCCGACCCACCGATGCGGGGCCCAATGGGGCCGGGCCCCATCTCCATCCGTCCCGGCCCGGCCCTGCCGCTCTCAGAGGCCCCAGCGGCGCCCCAGCAGGGAGGCATTGGCCGGCAGCCCCCGCATGGAGCCCTAGGGCAGCGGGCGGCGGGCAGCATGTTCAGCCCGGACGGGGGGCTGCCGGCCGCCCCTTTCGGCCTTCTGACCGACGCCGGACCGCCCTTCCCTCGCGGCAGCTTCGACGGGGCGCCCGCTCAGCCGCTCTTCTTCCCCTTCGCCGCCACCGCCGAGCCCGAGCCCGCCCGGGACCCGCCGCCGGCCCGCGCCTGGCTGCCCCCGCCCGCCAAGGTGGAGGCGCGGCCGGGCCGACCCTGCAGCCAGCCCGAGCCCGAGCCCCGCACCGCCGCTTGCTGCGGCCCGGCCTGGCCGCCCCCGCCCTGGGCCGGCCCGTCGCCCTCCGGCCCCGCCGCCCTGCCCGGGCCGCCCTTCTCTGGCCCGGCTGCCCCTGCCTTCCCTGGCCCCCAGCTCTGCCCCGCCGCGCTGCAGCCGGGCTCCGGCGGCCCGTCGGGGCTGGGCAGCAGCGGCAGCTCCAGCGGCGCCGCCAGCGAGGGCGGACACTCCAGCGACAGCGGCGAGGAGGTGAGACCCGACGGGACGGGGACGGGGCGGGCTGCCCGGCCCCGCTCCCGCCGTCTGCACACAGTGTGCCTATGGGGCTTTCCTTCCCGTCTGGAGCCGCGGTTCACCGCCCCGACGGCAGGAGCTGCCCGGCTGCTCTCGTGTACCGCCGAGACCCGCCGGTGCCACCTGCCGGGGCCCACCGTCGGGTGCCCCCGGGAGAAGCCCTGACCCAGCGCTGGGGGTCGTCCCGCATGTGTCAGACTCTCCGCAGAGGGAGAGCCTTGGGGAGGCTGCTTTGGGGTAAGAAAGGGAGTTTTGGGAACTCGGGACCGCAGCTTCCCCTACGCGATGCGGCAGGGCCGTCTCGGGTAGCGATGTCGAAGGTCGGCTCCGGCGTGAAACTCGGGGCAGCGCAGCGCGGTCACCGAGGGCTCCTGGCCAGCCACCCCCGTCCCCTTCGGTCGGCTGCGTCCTCGGGCGCTGCTCCCGGAGCTCCTCGGGCACTGAAGTTTGCTGGGACAGAGACAGCCCGGAGACGAGGGCGGGAGGAATACGGGGGCAGCGGGGCTGGTTCCCGGCACGACTAAATTTGTGGTTTGCGCTAGTTTTTAGTATTTTTCAATGTTGACGTATCACGATCCCGCCCCGCGAAGAGGAGCAGCGACCGATGCCGGGGGCTGGTCCCTGATGGGGTTGGGAGAATTCGCATTGCCGCCAGTGGGTCGGAGCTGCGGCATGTCCCACGCCACAATCGATACATGTGTATCCTCGGGCCGCAACTGGCCGCTCTGGGTGGGAAGTGGTCATGAATGGCATTTTCTAGCTGGATGGTGATCTGGGACGGCATCCCTCCTCCGTGGGAGGGATGCTCTGAGTTTACCGGTGCCGATTATACGCCAGGAACTAATAGCCGTGGCTCGGTGACAGGAAAAACTCCTGAAAAACCCGAAACCCCGCTGAAAACGTGGAAATTGGGTAAAAGGCTTCAAAATGACCCCGTAGAGGCTAAAGGCTGCGTGGCAGAAAGGTGGGAAGCGCCTGGGCAGCCGCTTGCCAGAACGGAAGAGCCGGCTGGTAGCAAAGAGGTGCTCACGCGGCTCGGGGGCGGTTTTGTCCCTCTTCGCGGGAGTCTTTTCCCTGCTCCGGACGCAGGCGGGAGAGAGGCGGGTGAGGGGCTGCCTCAGCCGGGAGCCGCGGGGAAGTGGCCCACGCCGCGGGAGAACTGAGCGTCCCCGTGCGCACGTGTCGTGGATGAGTGAGACTCAGCCAGTGTGATAATTTGTGCTGCCTCTGGCCAGGCCAAGACGGCGCGAGCCAGAGGACAAAGGGAACATTTCCAAGGCGTGTTGCGGCAGAGCAGGAGCTCTTGGTGCCCTTGTGCTAGCCTTGCCGTGCCAGATTGGGTCGAGCTGAGCAGTGTGCGTGGTCGGGGTGGATCCTGTATGAGCCTGCTCGGTGTCAGTGCTCCCGAGGGCTCAGCCGAACCCTCTTCTGCCGCTGTCCTTCGGGGACCACAACAGACCCTGGACTCTGGGCGCGAGTTGTCCCTTCTCAGTGTCTTTCTGCCCTTGCCAGGATGCACCAACCTCAGGAGAGCTGGAGCAGTTCGCCAAGGACCTCAAGCACAAGCGCATCATGCTGGGCTTCACCCAGGCTGACGTGGGGCTGGCGCTGGGCACCCTCTACGGTGAGGAGTCGGGTGGGGTCGGGGAGGGAGGGAAAGCCCTGGAGTTACCCCATAGCCGCTGGGAAGGGAGAGGCCCACGAGGGATTTGAAATCACTTGGGATGATTCCTGCTCCTTGACGACCTGCAAAGGAGGCGGGGGGGGGGGGGGCGGGGGGGAAGCCCCTCCTGGAGGGATATCTCCAGATCTGCGGTGAGATAGAATCTTCGAGCTCACAGGGAACTGGTCTGAAATAGCTACAGTTGCTTACTGAGATGTATTTTTGGGCTTTAAATCCCTGTTGAAGGAACAGGGAGAATGCCTTTCCTGGTCGCCCAGGAACAGCACAATATTGGGGGTGGTCCTGAGGATCCTGAGGAGCTGCTGGCGAGGGAAGCTGTGTGTTATGTAATGCTCTGCCTGCCTTGCCCGTGCAGGGAAGATGTTCAGCCAGACAACCATCTGCCGCTTCGAAGCGCTCCAGCTCAGTTTCAAGAACATGTGCAAGCTAAAGCCACTGCTGCAGCGCTGGCTCAACGAGGCGGAGAACACAGACAACATGCAAGAGGTGCTGGGCTGAGGGGGCTGGGAGCCGGGTACCTCCAAACCCTGAGCCAGGTAGTTGCTGATACCCCATTCTCCTCCCTCTCTCCCACTTGCTTTCAGGGAGAGAAGAGGGGAACAGAAGGCATCTTGTGCCACAGCATGATCTTGCTGCATGGCTTAAGTCTGGCTTGAGGGCAAACCACTGGGTTTCATCTACTGTTAGGCTGGGGGAGGAAGTCCAATCCCCCTGCAGACACGTTGTGATTGTGGCAGCTCCCATTTTGAGTAGACAGGTCCTGCTGGAATCTCAGATAGACTGATTGTGCAGCTTGCTGCTCCCTGGGGAACCTGTGGAGGATGCAGAAATATGTGTCCAGCCTCACTGCTGGCAGTGCTGGGACACTGGGAATGGCTCCAGTCACAGTGGAATGATGCTCAGTGGAGAGTCACAGGGACACAATCTGTGCCCCAAGCTCTGCAGCCAGCCACACATGTGTCCCAAGCCTGGTGGAGACTCTTCCACTTGGTAACAAAACATTATCCCTCTCTCATTCCCAGATGTGCAATGCAGAACAAGTACTAGCCCAAGCGCGGAAGAGAAAACGCAGGACCAGCATCGAGACCAATGTGAAAGGGACACTGGAGAGCTTCTTCCGCAAGTGTGTGAAGCCCAGTCCCCAGGAGATCTCCCAGATCGCTGAGGACCTCAACCTGGATAAAGATGTAGGTTGGGAGGGTGGAGAGGATGGGTGCCCTAATGATGCCAGCTCCTGAGCACCTGACAGTCTGATACTTTAGCTCACAACAAAATGAAATACACATGAAGAGATGTAAACAGCTGCCCTTTAGCTGTGCCAGACGGTTAGGATATATATGGCTCATCAATATGAAAAAGAAAAACCACTTGGTTCCAGAGAAGGCTTTTGTTCATACATTTAATATTTAAAACTTAAGAGAGATAAAAATAGTTCCCAGACCCAACTACAGCCATCCGTGTTTGTGTATATAAATACGTGAAAGTAATTTGATAACATAATCCTTTGATACTAATTCATCTCTGGAGAAGCTGATTTTTGATCCCAAAAACCCACATGGATAGTTGCAATGTTTTTATTCTGAAGTGGAAATGCTCCAGAAGAGAAAAAACCACAACCCACTAACAATGCACGTGTTTGCGTATTGGCTTCATCTGGCTATGCTACCAGCCTTTGGAGAGAAGCCTTTCTTTCAATTTTGTTATCTTCTTTCCTATTTAACATATGCCATTTTTGTCATCTCTCAACTCCGGAAGCAGTGGGAAAGTGGTCATGGCTGAAGGTTGTTTGAACTGAGCCTAGCAAGGAGTTGTGACAGGGAGGGGGCTGCACTGGTAGGTTGGGGTGCTGTGGAGATGCCACCAGCAGAAGGATCTCCTTGTCAACCACATGGTGTGCCTGGGTTACCCCCTCACCTTTCTCTGTTTCCCTTCCCACAGGTAGTCCGGGTCTGGTTCTGCAACCGGCGTCAGAAAGGCAAACGGCTGCTGCTGCCCTACAGCAACGAGGCAGAGGGGATGATGTATGACATGAACCAGCCCCTGGTGCCCTCCACTCTGCCCATCCCAGTGACGTCCCAGGGCTACAGCCTGGCACCCTCCCCTCCTGTCTACATGCCGACCTTCCACAAAGCTGAGATGTTCCCACAAGCGCTGCAGCCTGGGCTCTCCATGAGTAACAGCGGCCACTGAACCAGGGGCTGTAGGCTCACTGCAGGTGGGCTGGTGCTCTGAGGCAGCCCCCCCTTGCCCTTGGCTCACACAGGCATAGCCCTGCTTCTGCTCACTGGGCTGATGTGTGCGGCTTTTGGGGTGCGAGGGGCTGAGAGCCTGACCCAGGGATGGTGCCTGCTCTCTGCAGATGCTCCCAGCCCTTCCCTGTTACGTGAGCTTAGTGGTCCCAGCAGCGTAGGCCCCCCTCTGACCTCTCCTGGGGGCAGCTCCTCCTGCCCCACTGCACCCTCTGAAGCCACATGTGCCCAGGGCTCTTGAGTCCGTGCCTGGCCCCAGCCCAGCTGCTCTCCTGTGAGACTGGCTTGACCCAGTATTTTTTAGATTTTGGGGAAGGGTCGGGGGAGGTGGTGGTTTTATTATTTTTTAAAGGTTTTTGGTTGTAGTTTTTAAAAAGCAAAAATTTTTGTAGTGATCTAGTTTCCCAGGTGTCTCCTTCTGCCCTGTCATGTAGAGAATGGCTGGGGTGCCATGCCCAGGGCCAATGGCTCTGGTGGCTTTGCCCACCCTCCTGGGTGGCCATGATGAGCCGAGGGCTGGGGCAAGAGAAGATGAGCCCCTCACCCTGTGGCACAAGAGAGCTTCACTGCTCTGTGGGGCAGCTGATAAAGCTTGTTTGGGATTTTGGGGGGTGGGGGGTCCTCCCCAGTGCTTTGTGCCCAGCATCACCCCCCACCCACCCCCCTCGCCGCTCTCCAGCTGCTGTCTCCTGCCCCAGCCCAGCTGCCCAGAGATCACCTTTCCCTGGAGGGCCCAGCCCAGGGGGCTTGCACCACCCTGTCCATGCTGCTAGCACCCCATGCCTTCCAGCCTGCTGTAGTTAATGATGATTTTTTTTTTTTTTGTTCTTAATCACATTCCCTCTGGCAGTGAAATAAACCTCAGAGTTCTTTGAGGCAAGAATGAGTTAACCCTTTCCTTGCATCCCTGCTCCTGCAGCCCAGCAGTTGAGGGTTGGCTGCATGCAGGGGCATAGCAGGGCTGGAGCAAGGCAGCCTAAGAAGGTTGACATGTCCCCATCATGCCAGCAACATTCAGCTCTTGACTGCCTGCAGCTTTGTCACCCTCCACAACTGGTGGCAGCTTGGCCCTGGAGTGGTACCAATTTGTCAGAACTGTTGCCCCCCAAAGCAGAGGGGGTCAAAAGTGAAGGGAAGGGGTCATCTTCCACCCAGTTCAAGCTGCTGGATTGCTATAACTGCTTCTGGGAAGGTTGGAAGGTTGGAAGCAGTGTGAGCTTTCTTGTAGGCTGCTCCAGCAGCTGGCAGGGACAGAGAAGAACTAAGGAGGATGTACCAAGGTGGGTGGTGAAGAGGTGTGGAAAGCTGAGGCTGTCCTCATTGTAGGGGGGAGGGATGTATGTTCCCATATGTGGTCCAGCTGAGGCAGTCTCTGGTGGGGTGATAACAACCCAGCCATGCAGGTCCATTGGGCACTGGGAGCTGAGCTGGTGAGAGCAGGGATGTCGGTGAGAGCAGGGATGTCTGGGGGATAACCCTTTACTTTTTCCCACCCCAGTCCATTCTCTCGAGGCCCCTTCCCCTGAGCAGAATGAAATCCCCAATCAAGCCTGTAGGGAAACTTTTGGAAAGCCCTGTTTTCAGCTTGATGAGTGGTAGCTGGGACTTTGCTCTCTAGGGCTACCTGGAATAGGGGCAACAAAGGCAGCTGCTCACAGGGCACCTTGGGACCCTGCAGAAGGCTGGGCTGGGCTAGATTCCAACTTTATGGGGCAGTGCCCTTCTGCATCCCTGCTTGCTCCCCAGAGCCTCCTACTTGCCTGCCCACAGGGTAGGGGCACAGCTGTGTGTGGCATCCATCGGAAACTGTCCCTTGTTGCTGCTGCCCAGTTCTGCCTGGCACTTGAGGGGTGCAGGAAGCTGGCAGGGTCAGAAGCAGAAATATGAGACAGATGTCATCTCCCAAAGGTTTGCTTCTCTCCGCATTTTCACTGTCTGGTTTTCTGCATGCAGCCATACAAGACCTGCAGCCCACCATGGGACCTCCCTCCATCCTGCTACCCTGGCACCCCCTGCCCATGAGTACCTAGAATCTGTCTGTGGGCACCCACAGCCCCTCCTGTTCCGCTTCTGGTTGACCCAGAAAAACAAAGCGGAAAGCGGAAGCCACAGAAGTCAGAAAAGCACAGTGTGCTCATCCAGCTGCCACCTCACCAGGGCTGTGCCAGGGAAGGGATGTCCCCTCTGCTGCATCTCAGTCTTCCTGGGCACCCAGCAGCTCACAGGGTGGTAGAGGTGGGGTTTGGTGACTTCAGGGCCTAACCCTAACCCTAACCCTAACCCTAACCCCAGGGCCACTGGGAAGAAAAATAGGAAGCTTGTGACAAAAAATAATTGTTTATATCAAGGGAGTTGATGGCACTGAGTAGAGGGGCGAAAAGCAAGGCACAGATGGAGCAGTCATGTCTTACCCCTCGTCCTGTCAGCTCCGATATCACCACTGATCCCAGATGGGTACTGTCACTATTGGACACAAAATGAATACACAGAAGCTTGGTAAGTTCAAAAGAGAAAAAGAGCAAATTTTATTTCTGACCTCGCAATATATAGAATTCCAAAAGTGACAGCGGACTGGAGAATGAAATTGCCACCTCTCCAACCACACTGGTCAAACCAACACTCCGTCAATTCTCTCCTCCCACAAAGAATGCGAAACAATCATTATTTACATGAACAGTTAATGAGAACTCCAGTGGAAATACGTAAACATTATCAGAAGGCATAGAAAACTTTTAAAAGGACTTTAAAACTTTCAAAAGCACTGTAAAAGAAAACACTTTTAAAAATCAGGGCAACGGGTATTTTTTGGGATGCCCATGGTGCAGGGTGCTCTTACTGCAGGGTTTCCCCAGTGCCATGTGCTCATGTGCAAGTTGCCCACAGGACTGGCTTTGCTTCAGGGTAGTGAAAGCCTCCAGAAGCTGTCAGCTCACTGGCTTCCTGTCACAGCGGGGAGGGGGTGACAAACCAGTGCCCCATGGCCTGCCTGGCAGCACTGAGATTGCTCTGAGTCCTGTGGCTCCTCTGTGGCACCCGTGGCTCAGGGGTGGGGAAGGAAATGGGTGTTGCCAGGAAGAGGGGGAGCAGATGCTGTCCTTCCTCCCTGGCCATTGGGTAATGGCCCCCCTGGGCTGAGGCCCACTCCTCCAGCCCAGTCACAAATGTCGCCACAGGGCCTCTGCTGCCAAAACTTCGGCACTCAGCAGGTGCTGGGGGGACATTGAGCATCACAGGGGAAGGCTGGGGAGACCTGAGCTACCCACCACCCCTCTGCCCTGCCCACACCACATGCACAGCCTCAGCAGCATTGTGCCATTAATTTCCAAAGCACCTGGTCCTGCCAGCACCCTGGCAAGGTGTTCAGTGTTAGGTGGGAGTGGTAAGTCCTGTTTCACAAGAAATGAAGTCATAGGGAGTTGCTGGAAGTGCAGTGTGACAACAGCTGGGTTGGGAGGAGAGTGGGGGCTCCTGTCCTTGTTTCACATCCTGTGTGCAGGAGGGTGCCTCGTGCATCTCCCACCCCTGCCTGCATTCATCCCAAGGGTCCCAGCGCACTAGGAGTTGAACCAGCTCTGCAGGTCAGGATAGAGGTGGCCATGGGGCAGGCGGGGGTAGGCTGTGCAGATAGAACAGATCCGCTCCCTCCAGTCGGTGTAGAGTTTCACACTGAACCTCCTCTGCCAGGCAAAGAACTGCTGGTAGCGGCTGGAGTTCATGGTCTTCAGGAAGGTGGCCAGCTCCTCCAGGGAGCCAAAGTCGTTAACATGGATGAAGGAGTCTGCAGGAACAAACTGCTCATAGTTGGCCCTGGGTGGCCCCAACACCACAGGCACGGTGCCGGCCAGCAGTGAGTTCCTCCAGAGTTTCTCTGTGATGTAGTCCCGGTGGATGGAGTTCTCAAAGGCCAGGTAGAACTTGGACTTGGATATTGTTGACAAGAGGCAGTCCTTGCAGAGGGGCTTGTTGTTTGCTTTCCCATATATATTCACATGGAGGTACCTGGAAAGGTTCTTGTAGACTTCAGCTCTTTTCTGAGTCCTGTGGTAGTTGCTGATAACCCAGGACACCAAGTTGGTCTTTGCAGGGATGTTCACAGTGGCTGACCGGTTGGGCACAAGCTTGCCATAGGGGATGAAGATGTCTGAATCCTGTCTGTAAGTCATCACCCAGTTGAAGGTCCTGTTCCATGCTGCTAGAGCTCTAGTGTTTGATGGGGACTCCAGGGAGACCCACACCCAATTCTGCCCTGGCAACCTCTCCTTGGGCAATTTGTCCCGGCCAGGCTGGAGCCTGGAATGGGGGAACACCACCACATTGGCCTGGTGCAGGAGCTGCTGCTCTGTGGTGAGTTGGCAGCCTGTGATACTGTACAGCTCATGGCACACGTCTCTGCTGACATTGGGGACCTGCTTGGAGGGCCATTCCCACACCAGGATCACCAATGGCTCCCTGTGTTTAGAGTCTTCTCCAGAGCCCTTGGAAGGGTTGAGGAAGAACCTCAGGGTCCAGAGGGTGGTTACAAACACTCCAGCAGTGACCAAGGCCTTCACACCAGACCGTCCCCATGGTGACCATCGCAGCGGCAATGCCCAGGGCATGCTGGTGGGTTGGCTGTCACCTCATCGGGTGACAGAGCTGACACCTGTGAGAGAGGAGAGGCCACTGAGGACCATCAGTTCAGCTTGCCAAGGACGAGGAGTGGTGGGGAGGCACTGTGGCCAGAGGGGCCAAAGAAAGGCCTTTATCATGGCATCAGCATCAGCCCCAGAACCCTCTGCCTCCCTGTGCCACAGAGTTCCCTATGCAGGTTGTATCACCCCAGGGTGGCCTTTGTTCATGCTCCTGTAGTCCCTAGTGACCTTTGAGGGAGCACAAATGTTTCTGGGAGGGGCAGAGTTGATAGGAAGTAGCCACCTGTGCCCCTTTGCCCCACCTGGCTGACCCTACTACAGGCAGTCCTTGCTTCCTCTGTGCCTTAGTTTCCCCACCTGACACACAACCACAGTCTCAGTCTTTCTTGCTTTGCCCAGAATAGGTCAAACCTGACATGCAGCCAGCCTTGCCACTGCTGTGCACTAAAGGACAAGAGGGAATGTCCTGGTCCCACCTGATTAGCCCCACAGTGACACTTTGTCTGCAAAATGGGGTGACTGATTCTGAAGTCCAAAACTCTGATGAGGGCCAAGTTTGGCAGTGTCCTGCCCAAGAAGTGCCAACTCACCCCGGCATTCTCCTGTGACAACGGCAAGGAAATTCCCAGGCTCGAGGTGCCCTCCCCAGGTCAGGGTGCACTCCCCAGTCCCCAGCAGGCTGAGGCTCAAACACTCACATTTTATATTTAGGATGTCACAGATGACCAGTGCCCCACTGTGTGGGCACAGAGGGGAGGGAGGACAGAGAGAGCAGGGAGGACAGTGCAGCACTTGGGGCTGCCACTGGTGGGTCTCAGCTTGCAGGCACATGGGCCCGTACCAGCTGTGGTATGGATGCTCACCCTGCCAGGGTGCCCATCGGCCTGCCTCGGGCTTCTGTGGTTTAACCAGCAGCACTGCTGGGAGTGGAGCAGTGGCAGAGATGGAGAGGGAGATGGTTGGCTGCACTGGGGACCAGCCACCAGCTTAAGCCTCCTCTGGAAAGCTGGTCCCACTGCAGGGCTCAGAGCATTTAGCACCATAGGTGGTTTCTCCTTTTGTGGAAACCTCTGGAAACATGTGGGCTGCCTGAGCCCTGCTGCCAGCTTTGGGGTCTCCTGGAAAGCAGTGCCCTACTTTCCCACCCACCCCAGCACTGCAGTTTGGCTACAAAAAAATCCCTTCCCCACCTTGGCCCAGTCCGTCTGTCCTGCTAAAATGCATGAGCTAAGTTTAAGCTCCAGAAAAATCTGGCATGGGAAGCAGAAAGGACTGGGAAAACTTTGCTGGTTCCCCACACTGCACATCAGTGCTGCAGGTCTCTGTCCCCAGCAGCAGAAATGTTGCTTCTGTTTTGGGGATGTTGCCCCCATTTTGGGGATGCTTTGAAAGGAAAACCCCTGCGCTAGCCGTGGCAGAGGCCACCCCATTTCTCAGCCCCTCTCCCCTCGGTGGTCAGTAATGTTGAACTCAGACTTACTGTGATGGAGGTGTGCGAGGTGCCAGATGCGTCTGCCTGGGTGCTGCTGGGCTGGGGCATTCAAGGGCTTCCTCTTTTTTTTCAGCTTTGCCTTGTGCCAGCCCCACAGCAGGTCCTTCCTGCTCCATGTGTCAGCTGGCACACCCCACTCCCAGCACTTCCCTGCACTGCGCTGGGGGGTGGGTACCCTGTGACTGGGTGGGTGCCCCATGGTAGGGTGTACATTCTGGCCAAATGGGCACCCCATGGTGGATGCATGGCCCAGAATAAGGTGGGTGCCCCGTGGCTGGGTAGGTGCCCTCAGCCTTGACAAGGTGCCACCCATCTGCCACCCGCAGCTTGGTTGCAAACAGGATATCAACTCCCACTGACTCATCCTGAAAACATCAACAGCCCTGAAGTGCCACCGAGCTCTGGGCACTGTCCTGTCTTGGATGTCTCCAGCCAAAAGGGGAAGCAGGCACGTATGAGCCTCAGCAGTGTGTACATGGAGAGCTGCCTTCTCTGCTCCTGCCCCAGTTCTGCCCTGCTCCATGTCTGGCTCAGTTTTGTCCTTTGCTGGCATTGCTGTTCAAGACCCAAGTCTCCATGAAAGCCCTGGCAGGCAAAATGAGATGGGGAAACTGAGGCAGAGGCAAGGAGATGTGCATCAAGGTGTGCACCATTGTCCCTGAAGCTGGCAAGGGTATGCCCTACGCCTTGGCACACAGGGAGCTGGGAAGAGGGCTCCAAACTACTCCCTGGGGGTTCTCAGGCTGCTCCAGTGCCCCAGGGATCTGCACCCTCATTCCTGCTTGCTGCTAGCCTCTTGGGATCCCTGTTGGGCACAATGCCATGGTGCCATGCCACAGTATAGCAGTGCTCTGTGGTTTCAATGACACCCCAGGAGCCTTCAAAGGCCAACTGCAGCCCCAAGGGAAGGTGCTCCTTCTTCCACACCCACGTCTGTTTCCTGTCATCTTTTCTCACTCCTTTTCTGCATTTCTTCCCCCACATGATTGAGAGCTCAAGTACTACAGTTCATTCCCAGGGCACCATTCCCAGCCTTGCCTGCCCTAGCCTTGCTGTCTGTGGGCAGTATCCCTGCCTGGCTGGAGCATTTGGCATCATCCTGCTGCTGCCCCATAGCTTGAGAACCCAGGGCCCCATGGACTGGGGTCATTCCCCTCCATGGAGGACAGCACTGGAGACAATATTTCCATAGGGTATTCAGGATGGCTAGTAGAGCAGCTGGGAGCTTTTCCCTGGCACTTAATACCCACACTTAATGTGTGGGTACTGCCCCAGGATACCCTGGGTATCCTGGGTGTGCAAGGACAATGCCCTAGGAGGACTTGCAGCCAGTGGATCCAAACACCCTGACCCTGTGGCCCAAGGGACATGGCTCTAAGCCAGGCAGGGAGCCAGGGCCAGTGCTGCCTGGGTGGGTTGGTCAGAGATCAAGGCCAGGGGCCAGGCCATGAGACCATCAGGAATACTGACCATCAGGACAGCACCAGCACAGAGCAGAGAGACGTATGTGTGTGGGTACTGACATCTGCAGATGACTTCATACAAAGACAGGAACTTGGTCACCCTGCAAGGAAGTCCCCTGAGAGGTGCTCAGGGCTCCCTGTTCCCAAGTCTTCAGGGCTTGTCCATGGAGGAGATGGGCCACAAGGTCTTTGGAGCTTCTAGCCCAGGGAGGAGCTGGGCTTCAGGCCCTGGGTCCTTGGAGGATTTTTACCACAGTGTCTCTGGGACTGTGCTGCCCCATGGTACACTACTGGGTCTGTCCCTTGCTGACTTCTTGGGGTTTCCATGGCCATGCCAAACAGAAGGGCAACTGTGAAGCTCCTCAAGACCCACCCAGGGGCAGCAGGAGGGAAGGTGCAGGAGACCCAGGTCAGGGCTTTGACCCACTCATGGGTCCCCGCATTGTGCCCCTCCAAGCTGAGGACCCTGCTGCAGGACAGGGGCTTGGAGATGCGCCTTGTGTGGGCTGTGTGTAAACCACACACAATTCTTTGTCTAGGAGTCTAGGGTCCCTCCTTCCCCAGGGACCTAGTAAAAGCCCAGCTCCCCTCAGTTCTGGGCATCTCTGCTGCCCATAGCCCTGTCTGCACACCCAGCAGCCCTCACAAACCAGTCATCCTCACCAGAACACAGAGCTAGGCACACAGAGCCTCTCCACCACCACATCACTAGGCATCCTTTGTCCTCCTGGACCTCAGCAGTGTTTTGCCCAGAAGTCTGAGGAATAATGCTGCTTTGTGTTGGACAAGGAGAGATTTTGTTAGACCTGGGCAGCTGCCAAAGGACCTGCCCTGAGCACAGGCACCCTTGGCAGCACCACTGGGGCTGGGGCAGCCAGAGAGAGATTCACTGCTGCTGGCTACACTTGGCCCATGAAGAGCATGGAGTGTGAGATGGTTACAGAGAGCTGGAAGAGAGGAGAGGGAATGGGGAGAGATGGGTGAGGGAGAGCAGGAAGAGGGAGGGACAGGTGGGAAATGGAGAGGACAGGAACCAGAGGGATAGGAAAAGGGAGGGGAAGAAGGATGGGAGAATGGATGGAAGGAAGGACAGATGGAAAGAAAAAAAGATGGCAGGAAGGAGGAAAAGAAAGAAGAAAGGATGGAAGGAAGGATAGATGGGAGGATAGATGGACAGATGGAATGAAATATGGATAGGAGGAAGGATGGATGAATGGCAGGAAGAAGGATGGATAGAAGAAGAGTGGATGGGATTAAGGAGGAGAGCTGGCCTGGTTCAGTCCTTACTGCTGAGGGCATCCAGCCCTGGGTTCAGAGCCGCCAGGAGACAAGATGTGGCAGCAAGGTGGTCCATCCAAAAACACCCAGCACATGCCCATGGGACAGGTCAGGCAGGAGCAGGGTGGGCAGCACCCAAGAGGAGGGACAGCCGTGGCACCCTGGTACACAGATCCCGCAGCCACGGGCTAATCCTTCCCGTCCTGGGGAGCAGCAGGGGCAGAAGCGCGGAGGTGACCCGAGTATGGCTGAGGGGCGGGAGGGCGGCGGCTCGAGGGGAGCGAGGATTCCCCGGCCGCTGGGGCAGCAGCCCCGCTCTGTACAGTCAGCACCGGGGCCGCTGCCGCCGGGACGAGCCGAGCCCGGGCCGCGCTGCGGGCGGGTCCGGCGGTGCCTTTAAGGGGCGGCCGCCGCGGGCCGGGGGTGGCGCTGGTGCTGCGCAGGGTCGGGGCGGGTGCGGCGGAACCAGGCCTGGGCCGAGGCCGGCAACCCACGGCCGGCAGTAGGCACCGGCTGGGAGGGGATGGCGGTGGGCGGTGGGTGACCGCGGAGCTGAGCGCGGCGCGGCCCTTCGGCGGGGCCAGCCCGACCCGACCATGGGGTTCCTGCATCAGCTCCATCTTCTGCTCTGGAAGAACGTGACACTGAAGCGGCGCAGCCCGGTGAGCGGGGGCGAGGGGGCCCTGCAGCCCGAGGGGCAAGGCCGGGCCCCGCGCGGAAGTGGTGCCGGAGGATTCCCCCGGTCCCTCGGCCCGGCGATGTCCGCCTGCCTCGGGCCAGCCGTGCATGAATTCTCCGGCCCGCGCGGCCCCGGGCTCTGTGTGGCAGCAACAGTTGGGGCTCTCCCGCTTCGCTGTCGTGTCCGTGAGGCCGCTCGGTCCCCGGGGCCGCAGGGGGAGCCCAGGACCGGGGCTGGATGTCGCCCCCCCGCGGGTGGGATCGCTCCTCGAGCCCCGATACCCGCCGGGTTTAAATAGGTTTTCAGTCCATATGTGGGTCGGAGCCGCCTATCTTCCGCGGGCTGGAGAAAAGGCAACTTCACGGGGTTGGGGGCCGGGGGGCTGGTGTGTGTCCCTCCCGGGCTGGCAGAAGGGGTAAGATGGCATGGACCGTGCTGGGGCCTCGGGGCTGCTGCCGCCCTGTCGCAGGCTCCGTGTGTGGGGTCGTCCATCAGCCCCCCGAGGGATGCCGCAGCTGTGGGCAAGGGGTGGGTGCACGGCCCGAGGGAGCCGGTTATTTTTAGCGGGTGGGGGAGGGGAGCTGCTGCTCGCAAGCTCGCTTTTCTTTTCCCTTCCCAAATATCCCGCAGGCCTGATCCTGCTGTTCCTCACCTGCAGCCGCCAGCACCAGACCCCGTGTCCCGGTAACTGGAGCAGCAGAGGTCCCTGTAACACGAGCAGGAATGAGCCTTGCGCTGCAGGCAGGTTTCCCTGCACTGACAGCCCCTGTGCCCCCAAAATGGATGAGGGGGATGATGCTGTTTGGCTGAGTCATCTCCCCTCTTTACCCTGAGCAGAGTTGCATGGCCACAACAGGGGCTGTGCCGGACCCTTGCCTGCTAGGATGAGCAGCCTGGCACAGCTGGGCCCTGGCACACAACAGCTGACCTGGCCCTGGCTTCCGTGGCCATCAGTGTGGGTACACACAGCTTTCGGAGACCCATTTCTCTGTCACACTCCCTAGCAGCCCTGTGGGCAGTGTGGGGGTGCAGTGCAGGAAGCTGTGGCCAGAGGAGGAGACAGGCCCCATCACCTCCATGTGTATGGACTGTTGCTCGAGTGCCACTGCTTCAGGCAGGGTGGCAGGGTATGGAGCAGCCCCTCCTTGCCCACCCAGCGATGCTGTGAGTGCAGGGGACCAGCTGTGAGCCAGGATGAGAGCTGGTTCCAGTGCTGCGGGTGCTCATGGATGGATTTGATGCAGTTCCTAGACAGCTGTGCCCTGAGGATGCATGTGCCCAGTGTATATCACCTCTTTCCTTATGCTCCTGCTGTGTGTGAATCCCAGAGTCACTTGCTGTCCCTGATGTGCGCAGGGGCCATCACCCTGCCCACTCTGCGGGGAGCTCTGTCCTCTCCGAGCAGTGCTGCTGGTCTGAGCTGCCGGTGGTGGCTGGCCAGGGCAGAGCCAGGTCCTGTGTGGCAGCTGCACCTGGCATTCAGCAGTGGGTTCCCCGTTGCGGGTCTATCTTGGCAATGGCTGCAGATGATTGTTGCACTGTGAGAAACCAGCTCTCACTGGAGTGATCTTAATGCAGCAGCCAGAGGCTGGGGGACTGGAGCAGCTGCTGGATGTTCACCCAGGGGCAGGCAGAGTTGGGGGTTGCTGGGCTTCTCCCAGCCTCAGAGAGGGAGTGTTGGCACCAGCAGCTGCCTTTTGGCACAGCCTGGTGCTGCAGGTGCTCCCCTGGGTCAGTCCTTGCCACCGTGTGCTCCCCTCCCGGCAATAGATGGAGCAGCAAACCCAGCGCTGCACGGGTGGGGGGGGGTGGGGGGGGAAGCAGAGACTCCAGGTTTGACTGAGGCCTCTGAGCTGGGACTTTACTACTGGAGCAGTTCTGTGTTCTGCCCATGGATATTGGTGGCCTGGGGGTGTCCCTATTGTCCCTGGCAGCAGGGGCTGTTCAAGAGCAGGATTGCAGTAGGGTACAGCCATGGTTTTGGGACAGACTTTATTCACAGTTTAGATGGACTTTCATATTCATAGGCAGACTTTATTAATTTATTAATAAACAATATTTATTATTTAGATGAGTGTTTGGCCAGGCTACTTACGGGTGGATGGTGGGTGCAGGGAGACCTGCAGCATGACCAGGCACTGTCCCTGTTCAGTGGCACCTCTGTAAGGCCTTGTTCTCAGCCCATGGTGGCTTTGGACCTTGCCTAGTGTGGCTGAGCTGTTCCAGGGACTCCTATGCGTTGTGGCCCAAATTTTATTCTTCCCAGAGCATAAATTCAGGCAGGAACCCTGGGATGATGAAGATCCGACCAGAACAGCATCAGTGGCTCTTGGCAGAGGGAAGCCGGGCTGTGGGGTCCCTTGGGGGTGCCCATGGCAGCCCTGGGGATTGCTGGCTGTGCCTTGAGTGCCAGGCTGCTGTTCCAGGGCTGTCAGGGGTGGGGATGTGTCCATGCTGGAGGCAGGGGGTAGTGGGACAGATGGACATAACTGGAAGTGACCAGAGGTGAGGGTGGCCAGGCCTTGGCAGGATGAGAGTTGGCAGCCCCTGGACCCAGCCTTGTCTGTCCCTATGGGGGCAGGTGACCTTGAGGAAGCCTCTCAGGCCCCACCTGGGTGGTGACCAGCAGCCCATGGTCAGATTTCCACTGGAGCTGGGCAGCTTGGCACAGCCTCATGCATTTTGGGGCCTATTTTGCCCCAGAGCTCTCAAGGTCATCTTTCCCTGTGACCACGGCTTTACCTGCCTTTATCTTCTGGCTCTGGGCAAAAGTGGGCATCTAACAGTGATTAAAGTGTGGAGCCATGAAGATTCAAAGGTATTTCTGCAGCCTTAAAATGCTATTGGAAAAGTTAGACCCTGCAGGACTTGAGAGCCCCATCCCTCAGGGTTCCTGCAGGCCAGCACCTATTGCCAGTTCCTCCTGGCACTGTGGACGGCACTGGCATGGGCAGAGAGGCTGGCATGGAGTAGGCAGCAGCTCCTTCCTCCCACGAGGAAGACAAACAGACCCTGCCCTGTCCTCTGGGGCCTATTGCAGGGATTTTGGATGCCGTGTGTGATGTTGCTTCATCTGTGTTGGAGCCAGTGAACTCCCTTGCAGATACCAGGCTATGTGCAGGGGGGCTGACATGGCAGGTTTGGGGTGCAGGGATGTCACTGGAGCTGCTAGCTTGAGAGTCTTAGTATGGGGGTGCTCAGCCCCTGACTGACCTCTCCCGCACCATGCTGGCTGGAGTCTGTGGCTTGTGGGCATCATGCATTGCTGGGGGCAGGCAGGAGGCAACTGAGTGGACTTTTGGGTGACAGCAATGGACAGGAAGAGCTGCCTCTGCCTGGCCTGGCTGTCCCCATGAGGACTGCCCCCTGGGGTACTGAGACTTAAATGCTGCCACATCCTGGGGACCCCAATGGAGTTGTGCAGTTGTCCATGACCTGAGAACCATGTCTGTGCTGACCCTGGCTCCAGCACATCTCCCAGCTGTCCTAGTGGTGGCTGGAGGGTGGGCATGCTGGCACCATTGTGCTAGGCCGGGCCAATTACTCTGCTTTGTTTGCACCACTGTCCTGTGGTGCTTGTCTGACTTTTTGACCTGGCTGTGTGGGAGCTGCATGTTGCAGCAGGCACCACTGCCTCCTGCTTGGCCTCCTAGCAGCCTCTGGCTCCCATTCGACAGTGTGGCAGAAGACGGGCACAGGTGTTGAATCAGGGTCCCAATGCTTCCAGAAAGACATGTCCCCCTGCCAGGGCCCAGCACCCTGCTGTAGCACCCACCCAGCTCTGTCTCCCTGCTGGCGGAATTGGGCAGGACCCACCCCACCCCTGCCTCCAGCCAAGGGGCAGGGCCAAACGTGGGACAAGTTACCCCACTGCCTGTAGGGTAGCAGGTGGACACCCAGCGCTCGTGCAAATCTGGACAGTGCCTATGACCTCATCCTGCTCACATACAACCTGGCTGAAATGAACATGTGGCAGGGGATGTGGGAGAAGAGAATGCCACCACCCAGGAGCTGTCTGTGGCCCCCACAGCTATTGT